TGACATTTGTTTCCAGCAGCAATCCTTTCTTCACACTCTTTTTTTTCTTTTTTTAATGTTTTATTTATTTCTGAGAGAGAGAGAGACAGCATGAGCAGGGGAGGGTCAGAGAGAGAGGGAGACATAGAACCTGAAACAGGCTGCAGGCTCTGAGCTGGCTGTCAGCACAGTAGCCCGACGCGGGGCTGAAACCCACAAACTGTGAGATCATGACCTGAGCCAAAATCAGATGCTTAACCGACTGAGCCACCCAGGCGCCCCCCCCTTTCTTCACACTCTTAACCTGCCTGGGCTTCTGTCTCTCATTGGTGCATGTTCTTTTTCCTTAGGGTCTTGATCACAGCTGTTTCTTATTTTAATCAGCCTGATAAAGATGTCAATTGCCTCAATTCGTAGGGGACAGTTTTATTCTTGGACTAAACATTCTCCAATAATGGAAACTAAGACATTGAAATGGGCAAAGAGATGTTTTAGACAGATATCTCCCAGTGCCCTTCACCTCATTTGAAGATAGAAAGCCCTTGAATCTTCTAATGAGCTTCATCTGGTCAACTGCAAATGTTGGCCAGCAATCTTGATTTAATTCACATTTCACCCATTTTCTGTTGCTGATCAATGGGTAACTCCATGCAAATTCACTTTTTGCTCAGTTTCACTTTTACCACAAATTAAATATTTAACAATTTTCAAGTGCAGTGCATACTTAGGAACTTATATACTGAAGAAATCTAGATCATGTAAAACTTTCCTCTTTTCTTTTTTTCCTAACATTTATTTATTTATGGGGGGGGGTGGGGAGGGAAGGAAGGGCAGAGAGAGAGGTAGAGAGGGAGTCCCAAGCAGGCTCTGCATTGTTGGTGCTGAGCCTGATGCAGGCTTAAACTCATGAATTGTGAGATCATGACCTGAGCCAAAATCAAGAGTTGGATGCGTAACCAGCTGAGCCACCCAGGCACCCCAGCCTCTTTTCTATTTTACTTTTCATTAAAATGCATTATTCAGTTATTTGGATTAAGGGAGGCTATGCTTTGGCTTGGTTTTAGTGTGTGTGTATGTGTGTGTGTGTGTGTGTGTGTGTGTGAGAGAGAGAGAGAGGACACCCTATTGTATGTACAGGTAATTTTGATTTGCATTTAACAAAGGAAGGAAACAAATGTGAAAAAATGTTCAGCCTCACTAGGCATCATATATTTAAAACTAGCAACAGTTTAAAATGAGAACATTCAATATTTATAAAGTTCTAGAGATGGTAACAATATATTGCTGACTGGGATGTAAACAGACAAAATTTTTTGGGAAGCAGTTTTGTAATAGGTCTCAAGAATTGTAAAAGATCGTTACTTATGACCTAGTCATATTATTGCTTGGAATTTATATATGCTGTTTCCATGTAAAAGAAGAAACAAAGCATGAAAATAAGAATTTTAACATTATTTATATAGTGAAAAATTGAGTATAATCTAATCATAGAGACATGGTTAAGTAAATTATGGTAAATGCAGTTCAGTAATGTTATGCAACCATTAAAAGCAGTGGTTATAAAGACTATGAAGCAATGTGGAACATGTTTATGATATAATTTAAAAATTTGAAAAGGCCAATTATGTGGATAGGGGCATGAAAAAACCTGCAAAAGTGAAAATGGTTGGCCAGAGTGAATTTTTTAAAATTCCAGCAATGTTATACTGTGTGTTTTGCACCAAAAATTGCAAAATTCTAGGGAGGTTTGACATGCTTTGGAAAGAGGCTGTGAGTGGGGTGGAATCGAAGTCCCTTTCTGCACGAGTATTTTGTGCTTTTTGTGTGACAAAAGGCTCAGAAGGTTCTAGGTTTCATTATGCTACTAGAGCCAAGATTTAATTATGTTACTAGGGCTAGCCCCAGAGAGGGGAGAACATCTCCCCAGGAGATTGAGAGAGAGTCATTGTCAGGGTATGGGGCCCAGGACATGGGTTAGGGCAACTCCTTGGATAAAGCACCCTCTAAAACTACCTCCACCCAAAGGTTTTACACCAGGAACTTGGATTAAAAGGAAATTTAGGACAGCAAGTGATTTTAGAGAGTCAGAAAACAGGCTAAAACTATATAATTGGAGGGATGTTATGAAAGATAGAACACTACAAACCTTTACCTTGGTCTTAGGAGGGGACTTTGGGGTGACTCTATGTATGTGTCCATCAAAGTGTTTTTCTCCCCTCATGAATCCATTAGTAGCACTTCCCTTTCTTCCCTCAGTGCCCACTTGTTGGGTCTGCGCATGGGGTGACAGAGATCACTCTATTAGGGGTTCTTTCCAGGAAAAAGAGGAGGAGCCAGGGGACTTGGAAGATGGTGGTGGCAGGTTGAAGAGCAGGGAGAGGAGATTGGGGGGCCGGGAGCTGCAGGCTCCCTGCACCAAACCTTGGCTGCTGTTCAGACAAAGGATTTACAAATGGGGTCAGAATGAACTGACAGGATTGGGAATTAGGACCTCAGGTTTGTGTCTGGTGCGCCATCTTGTGAGTGAGTTGCCTCTGTGTGGGTCGGCTAGTCATAACAACGTTTACACGTGATGCTTGGTTCTCCTGAAGCTCATCCTTTCTTCTCACCACCCACATTCTTGATGAGCTCCGTGACTCAGCTGCTTCCCAGGACATCTGAGCAGCTTTTTTTCCGGCGATAGAACCATAGCCAGGAGACATAACCAGGATCCTTTTTGTTATCCTTCCTTTTGGCACATGAGGATCCTTTCCCACTCGTGGATCATGTCACTGGGAAGCCCCTCAACAAAAGTAGACTGTTGGAAGACTGTAGAAAGAGTGCCTTCTCTAGCTTGTGACCCGAGAAAAGGACTGGCACTGATGAATCCTGTAGGCTGTAAAGGGAACATTTGAAAGCCAGCATGAAGTTGGCTGCTGTGCTTACCAGCTGGGGCTAGAGATAGCTTGGTTATCCCGCTGCAGTTAATAAGCTTTCTCTTAGAGATGTCCCAGAGTGGCAACATCCTGAACGCCCTGGAAATTCTGTCTCTGTGGCTGGGCTGGCACCAAGGGGATTTGCCTAGTTGTCCTGAGGGATGGGTGAGCTCCCTCATCCTGACTGGGCAGCTGTGTGGGACCGTGCATGGGATTCCTGGGATGTCCCAGCCTTTCCGCATGGGACTCCAGTTTTCCCCTGATTCTCTGGGAGGTGGGAAACTGCATCCTGTCTAGGGGTGTGCTCCTTCCCAGCCAGCACTGCCTCCTGTCTTTGACCCAGTGTCTGCTAGAAGACTTGCAATTCCTCCCCTGGTGCTTGTTCCTGACTCTTGGCTCCAGCCCATCTCTTCTGCTTTTGCCCTGCTGTGAAACGGGAGCAGGGGTCTGTCTGCAGGTACCTGAGACAGACGCGATACTGCTTCCACTTCCTCTACTCCCACTGTACTGCCGCTTCCTTCTCCTCCACCATCTTTTAAAGCCCCTTCTTTAGACCACTTTTTATCTTTTCCTCACCTTCTCTTTTACTTCTCCTTTTCTTCCCTTTTAGCTGTGCTGCTTCATCTTTGTCTTGTTTCTCTGCCTGCTGTACCCCCATCATTACCCAGCGAGTATCCATTGGGTCCCCTGTCATCTGTTCCCATTGGGAATCTGGGCTGATCTTAACCTGCAATCAAGCATTCATTGTTCACTGGTATCTGTGTGTGTGGGGGGGCACTTTCTTCTTGGGGCAGCCTCTCCACACTGCAGGGCCCCCTGTGGGGGTGGGGGAGAGCAGACCACACCACCAGTAGCTACCCTTCCAATGAGCCTAATCTTGTGGGAGGGTGGGACTGGCCTGCCCTGGGCACACAATGGGCGGGCATCTCGGTGGCTTCCTTGCTGACCCAGTGTTGAGGTGTAGGCATGGCCATGAGCCAGCCAGCTCACCTCTTTGCTTAGGGCCCTGGTGGGCTTGGGTCATGGTGAGTTTTCCTTGTCAGAGCCAAGCTGGACCCAGTGGTGGGTGGGGTCTGTCCTTGAAAGTCAGAACATCATGTGGTGTTTTCTGGCCTCTGCGTTCCACCTGTGCATCCGGGTTGGGTGTAGCTGCTTGTTGGAAGGTGCTCATCCTCTCTGGGGAGGAGACTAGAGCCCCTGCCCTTTTGTTTGGCTCTTCGGAGAGTCAGAAGGAAATTACAAGGAGAAAGGAGGCTGGTCTGCCATTATCAGAGACCCTGCTGGAGTCTATGAAAGTATTCATTGGTTGGAGCCTTTTGATTCCTCATTCTTTCAGTCACAGGTGGCCTTTGAGGAGCAGCAGAGTGAAGTCAGTGAAGCTGAGGGGTGTAGCCCTGCCACAAGGCCCCACGAGCCCCTCCGATTTAATTCCTTAGTACCTTTCAGGAGCTGGAGGGTTTGCTCTTTGTGGCTGCATTCCTGGCAAAGTTTTATGCAGGTATTTGCATTGGAGCTTAAAGTCTTTCTGAGTTTCATTGTGTATAAAATTGGGTTATGGCCTACTTTACAAGGGTCATAATAATACCTAGTGTTTGTAAAATGCTTAATGTTTGCTGGGCACTTAATTCTCACCAAAATCTTATGAGGCGTAGGTACTACAATTATCTGCATTTTACAGGTGGAGAAACTGAGGTGCAGGAGGATTAAATAGTTTATAGTCACACAGTTAATAAGTGGATAAACCTGGAATTTGAACCCAGGCCTCTGACCCAAAGTCTAGGCTTATATCCTCTTTTTATGTATAAAATTATGTGAGGCTCTGTTCGGCACACAGTGGATCCTCAGGAAATTTGTTGAGTACATGTTAATGCATTTGGATGTCTACTTATGGAACAGAATTGATAGAAGTTTCCAGGCTCTGGTTGGGGTGGAACATTTGGTGCTTTGGGGAAGGAGACTGTTGGGAGGGCTGATGGGAAAGAGGGTGATGGGTAGAAGCCTACCTTCTTGCAGAGGTGAGTGAAGCCAGAGTGGAGTTCCTCCAGGTCCTGAGGTAGGGCACGCTTCACCCTCCTCATCAGCACCTCCCTTCTTCCTGCCATGCAGGGTGATGTGAGCAGAGCCCAGGAATGCCTTATGTGGATCGACAGAACCGAATCTGTGGGTTTCTGGACATCGAGGAGAATGAGAACAGTGGCAAGTTTCTGCGGAGGTACTTTATTCTGGACACCCAGGCCAACTGCCTTCTCTGGTACATGGACAACCCCCAGGTGAGAGGCTGCACGGGAAGGTGGCTGGCTGCCCATCACTGCCTGGGAGGAATGCACATGGGATTAGCCTCAAGCGCTTGGTCTCTTGTGCGCAGCATCACACTGGTAGTCAGTAAGGAGTGAAACTCTCCACAGCGCGCGCACACACACACACACACACACACAGCCATCCCAGATATTAGTTTGAGGAAAAAGAAGCTCATCTGTCTGGACCCTGGGGGATCTGGTATCTTTCTTACACTCAGGAATTTAACACTTCAGAAGTCCAGCAGAGGCTGGCCTGGCTTGTTCCAGGCTCCAAGGCATGGCTTACTTTCTTTCCTCCCTTCTTGTGGCTGTGGCCTCATGGCCACTCCTGCTTTTCCAGTCTGGGGCCCCTCCCTGGCAGGGAATGTGGCCTGGTTCCCTGAGCTCAACAAATGTTGGACTTCTTTGGTCTCCTGCATCAGGGAGTACTAGAATCCTGGGGTGGAGGTGACTTTGGTGGTGACTTTAGTTTTGCTTCTTCATGCTAACAGATGAGAAACTGAGTTTCAGACATTGGAATTGACTTCATCAAGGACATGGCCAGAATTAGGTGACCTGCCTAGCGATTTGTGGCAGTGAAGCACAAAGATAGGGTCCTCTACTTTTTATTGCTGGGCTTGGGAGCCCCTAGTGTTGTCACTGGTATGAAAAAAAGTCTCAAGTCTTTTTATTTCTGGAGCTGTGAGTGCTGCTGGCTCTTTCCTTCCCATTGCCCTGGAGCAGTGGAGGTTTGGTGGAATGAGGCCTCAAAGATTGGCATGGCCCATTCACGTCAAGTTCATGGGTCACAGCCATGTTGTGGCAGGGAGGAGTATGGGGCTGAGATTTGGCTCTGGTTCAGAGACTTGGGAAGGGGAAAGTCTGAATGTAAGGGGATGGATATGTGCTTTAAGATGTGCAGTGGAAAAAGATTACTGTGAATCTCTAGGTCGTTATCCAGGGACTAACCCTCTAGAGACCTTTGGCATTTGCCCTCTGGATTTGATGGCTGAGAGAACATGCTATAGATCTAGAAAACATAGTCTGGTTAGCTGGTGCTAGCTAGTCACCTTCTCCAGAAAAGACTTAAGCCCTAAATAGAACTGTGCCCCATGTGTCACTGCACATCCCTGATAACCCTTCTGCTGATCAATTTCATTTAAAATGCTGAGTGTGCAGAATGAACCCTATGGACATTTATATCCTTGACTTAGCCTGGAATGCTTGCCTCTTAAAGTGTTTTTGTCTTGGGTTTGCTTCTGGCCCTTCTCCATCATTTTCCCTGCCTTGGCTCTGTACAGGTGCCCATAGCTGGTCAACAGAGCCACTGCAAAAGGAAGTAGCATTGTTGGAGGAGCTTGGGATCAAGTCTTTATTGCTGGTAGACTTGGCCCCTGGTATGTCAGGGGTGAGCTCAGGGTGACTCATGGTCTCTCGGTCTTATCATTCCGTTTCTCTTTTTCTCCCTCTGTGTACCTTCTCTGACTCACCTATCATATTAGCTAAGGTAATTCAAAAGTATTTTTGTCCTGACCTACGTGCTTACCACCATGCTTCCTGCTAGGACTGTTCTTAATGCAGGTTCACTTGCTTGGGGAATCCTGACTAACTGTTGCCAGCTACCGCCCCTGATAGCTGGATCCTCCTTCATATCCTGGACCACGGACTGAGAGCCTTGCTGTCAGTGACAGATCACCCAGGGCCGCATTGTCACCATCTCAGATTTCAAATGTTGCCAGTTGTCGGGATTCTCCTTGCTCTGTCCTGCCCACTGATTTTACTGTTGCTTGGTTCCAGAACCCACACTGACCTTGAATGCTCTGCCATGGGCTGCCTTACTGGGACCGGTGGGGACAGCCCTCCTCTGCCGAGGGCAGCCTCTTGCACTTCCCTGCTGACTGAGCTCTTTGGATGCACTTTGTGCTAGAGCCTTCTTTGAGTTTGAATTACCAAATAGAACTTGTGGTCACTGCTGGGGAGTCTCTACAGTTTCCCTGGAAGCAGAGATTTCAGCTGGCCTGGCAGATGCCTAAAAAAGCAGGGTCTTGCTGTTGACATAGTTCAGAACAATAGTTTAGAACATTTTCCTCTTTCAGCTGTTGGCATAGCTCACCATTGTGCTAATGGCCAAATAGCCATTCTAAGTTTAAGAGTGGATATTTTTATAAGTTGTAAATAGTATTAGTGAACATTTTATTACCGTGTGGCAAGCACTGTTCTAAAGACTTCATGGGGTTTTTGTTTCATTTCATTCTGACAAATCTAATTGGTAGGTATTATTGTCCTTCTTGTACAGGTGAGGCGGGTGAGGCCGAGAGGGGAAGAATTTGCCTGTGGTTATGTAATGAAGAGAGTGGCAGAGCCAGGATTCCAGCCCTGGCAGTGTGACTCCAGTTCCCCTGCCCTTATTGCTGATAATGAGACCATCATCGCAATGTTGCTTAGGAGGAAGGAAAGCTTTCAGAGGTAGTCTCTGATTAACAGAGAGAAGCCAGAGGATGCTCAGGGCTGGGCGGTCCTCTGGGGTAGGGCGCTCATCTGGCTTAGGTTTTGATCTGTAGAGTCCAGCATTCAATAAAGGTGTGCTCGCCGAATGGATGAACAGACCACAGAGGGCCAAATGAAGAGGCTGTCCAGGGGAGGCCTTGGTGAAATGCAGAGTGCCCACCACTGCTCTCCCGGGGCTGGGCCTCCCTTGGGCCTATATGGAGTGGAAGGTCTGCAGAGGTGGCAAAGCAGAGTGCCGGAAGTCAGGAGAAGATGGATTGGAGGTGATCCCCAGGAGCAAATGGGGGGCAGGGGTTGGTGGGGAAGACTGTCTCTGAGGAGAGAGGCACGGAACTGTGTTTGGTCACCGACCATCCTATTTTTTTAAAAATTTTTTTAAATGTTTTATTTATTTCTAGGAGAGAGAGAAAGAGAGAGAGAGAGACAGCATGAGCAGAGGAGGGTCAGAGAGAGAGGGAGTCACAGACTCTGAAACAGGCTCCAGGCTCTGAGCTGGCAGTCAGCACAGAGCCCGACGCGGGGCTCAAACCCACGAACCGCGAGATCATGACCTAAGCGAAAGTCGGACGCTTAACCGACCAAGCCACCCAGGCGCCCCAGGACCATCCTATTTTTATAGGGCAAAGGAGATGCCTAATGTGTTATCTTAGTTAATAGGCACTAATAAGCAGGGATTCTTACAACCTGTGTCTGATCTTTGCCTGTTGAAGCTACTTGGGAGTTGGTGGTTATGGACCCTGTTTTTACTACTGCTGCTACTACTATTACTATTACCTGCTGGTTATGGTTACTGAGTGCGAAATGCTTTACATATATTATCTCATCAAGTCCTCCCAATAATCCTGGGACTCAGGGACTGTTATCACTCTGGACAAGGAGCAGGTAGTTTGGCAACTTTGTTCAGTCATACAGGTGTTAAGTGGAGAGCAGGAGTTGGAGCCAGGTGTAGACACTCCCATGCCTGCCCTCTTCACCTGCATCCGCTTCCTCCTACTGACATCCATGCTCAGCCCTGTGCAAGGTCCTGGGGACGATATGGGAGGTGAATTCAGTGAAGTCTTTGCCACCGGGAGGCTTCTGGTTTAGCTGGAGAGATGAAAACATCGCACACAACTGTAGCGCTAAAAATCTCAGTGCAGCTATATTTATTTTTTTATGTTTATTTATTTCTGAGACAGAAACAGAGCATGAGCGGGGGAGGGGCAGAGAGGGAGCAAGACGCAGAATCTGAAGCAGGCTCCAGGCTCTGAGCTGTCAGCACAGAGCCCAACCCGGAGCTCGAACCCATGAATTGTGAGAACATGAACTGAGCTGAATTTGGATGCCCAACCAACTGAGCCACCCAGACCCCCCTCAGTGCAGCTTTATAACAAGATGGTACAGTGTTAAGTTGAACGGCCCAGATGCCAGTAGTTTGGTTGAAGGAGAAGGGGGTATAGTTTTCCGGTGCATCTGCCCATCCAAGGAAGGTGTAGGGCCTCAAGGTGGAGTCTCATGTGGAAAGTTTCAGGTCTGGGAGACAAGAGATGAAAGATCAGATTCTGGCTCTGCCATTAAGTGGTTTTGTACGTTAGGTAAGGTATTTGTGCTCACTGGGCTATAGGTACTCTGAGTGATCTTTAACATGGCTGTGAGCCCTTCATTTCCCAAAGGGCTAAGAATAGAGTGAGCTCCTGGAGGTTAGCAACGTGACTTAACGTGTATTTGCTAAATACGCCCTGTGTGTCATATGCCAGTGTAGATGCTGAGGCTCCGGTCGTGAATAGACTGAATCTTTGCCTTCATGGAGCTTACACTGTCAGTAAGGAGATGGATGATTAAAACAAAAATGTGGCAGGGAGAGTGGGACCCCCCCTTTATGGAGGTGGTGGTGCTAAATCCAGGTGTTGAAGGATGGGCAAGATTAATCATTACCACAGGTGATTCCCATTTGTAGGGCATTTTATAGGTTTTGAAGTGTTTTCACTTACACTATCTCATTTGATTGTTTTTTTCAATATCTATTTTGGGGAGGGTGCAAGTGGGGGAGGGGCAGACAGGATGCAAAGTGGGCTTTGCACTGACTGGTCAACAGCAATGAGCCTGACATGGCCCTCGAACTCAGGAACTGTGAAATCATGACCTGAGGTGAAGTTGGAGGCTTAACTGACTATTCACCCAGGTGCCCCTCTCATTTGATTGTTATGTACTCTGTCCTAAGCCGAGCCGAAGAGGAAGAGGAGGGTATTCTCTGTGAGGAAAACCGCAGTCATTTGGGGGCAGAGACTGCACCAAGGAGGAAGGTGAGCTCACCTGGTGCGGGTGAGACCCCGAGGCCAGGAGTCAGGCACTGAGATGAGGATTGGTGCCAAGTTCTTTCTTAAGGAAATGTTTTTCGGAAGCTGTTAAGAGAGCTGGGAAGCAGGACAGGGAAGCAGAGAAAGCCAGACAAGGGTCTGCCAAGAAGTTGGCCAAGGGTAGGCCTCAGCCTGATGCTGCAGGGGGGC